GAAAGGATCAAGAGTCTTATATTGCAGGAATTGGGCTACACTGAAGGTACTTTGCCCTTCAAATATTTAGGAGTTCCCTTAGCTCCTAAAAAGTTATCTGTTCATCAGTGTTGGCCATTAGTTGAAAAGATCACTGCAAAAATAAGTTGCTGGACTTCAAAGCTCTTATCATATGCTGGTAGACTGCAACTCATCAAGGCAGTCATGTTTGGGATGCAGTCATACTAGGCCCAGGTATTTTTACTACCAAAGGAAGTTAGCAAGAAGATAGAGGCTGTTTGCAGATCATATCTATGGACTGGGCAGGCTGACATCTCTAGGAGAGCTTTAGTAGCATGGGATAGAGTATGCTTACCACAAACAATGGGAGGAATGAATGTGATCAACCTATGCCACTGGAAAAGGCTGCAATAATGAAGCATTTATGGGCCCTTACAAAGAAGAAAGATTGTTTGTGGATTAGATGGGTCCATACTTATTACATAAAGAATAGGAGTATTGACATTGTTCCTATACCTAAGAATGCAGCTTGGGTTGTAAGGAAAATTATTGAGCAAAGACACTTCATAATGAGCATACCAGCTCTGCAAGGTGATGTTCAAGAAAGGCTGGAATCCTTGCAAAGCACAAATGGTAAATTCAGTATCAAGAAGCTCTATACTCTGCAAACGCCCCAAGGACAGAAGGTTTATTGGAAAAGCTTGATCTTGCACCCTCATATTCATCCAAGACACAAGTTTAACATGTGGCTGACCATCCATAGGAGTATACCAACTGTGGATAGATTGCAGAGAATAGGTATCTCAGTTAACACAATGTGTGTTTTCTGTGGCCAAGCAGAAGATATATTGGAGAATCTCTTCTTTGAATGTTCATACACAAATGCTATCTGGAAAAGACTGCTCAATTGGATGGGAGTTCAAAGACAAATCCAACCTTGGGAGGAGGAGTTAAAATGGCTGACCTACCAGGCAAGGAAGAAGAAAGGAATAGGCAACATCATCTCAGTTGTATTTGGCATGCTGCTGTATAGTATATGGAGAGATAGGAATGCAATCAGGTTCAACAATGGACACACTTCAGCAGAACAGATTTGCAGAGAAATCACATCCTACATCCACATCAAGAGCCATGTACACAGCAGTTGGAGGAACTATATGGAAGACTTAGATAGATATCCGTAATGGTTGGAATGTAATTCTGTTATTCTAGACTCTTACTAGTGCATATGTATAGAAGCAATATTATAATTAGTATAGAATACAGGTGATATCTCTATGTAATAGTGAAGAATAGGCCAAAGTAGTATAGGACTGGTCAACAGATCCTGTTATGTAAAGAACAATTTTTGATGAATGAAAACGTCAGTTTATCAAAAAAAAATAATTATCGAAACTTTAGCTAGAAAATAATTCTAAGCTAATAGGTACTTACTACTCCAATTAAGTATATATTAACTCTTTTATGCAATTCATCAAACACCTTGTGTGCGTGCTTTTGTGAGTTAAACCACTTCAGTAAAGAGTTATATCAACTCAGCTCAATTTCTCCTTTCAAGCAACAATGTAAGTTCCAATTCTTGTAATCAACTCAACGATCAAATACTACAATGATAAGTCACAATAAGTATCCAACTTCCCAAAAGCATTAATCTTTTGTCAACTCTAAGAACTTTAGGTTCAACTTCTAAATTTGTAAGTTTTGGGTGTGGTCTTGTTCTAACAATCCTTTACTGCCTCTAACAACCTTAACCCGTCATAGAAATTCAATAAAAATGAAGAATTTAACTTTTAACACCAAAAACTTAACTCGTATTTGATGGGTGTTCTTGAGGTTTTGTAAAACTTTCCTATGAATTTACCTTATTAGGGTGTTAGATTCTAGTATATAATGATGTTATAGCTTACAATTTCGTAAAAAGAATTACCTCAGTCGTGGCCTAAAGAAGGTCCTGCTCAATGACCGATACTGTTCTTGCTCCTAGACCTGTGTTCTTTTCCAAAGGCTTTAAGCCTTTTATTTTTTGCCTCTAGCGTGACTGAACAGAACAAGTTCTGTTTTACTTAAGGCTTTAAGCCTTTTGTTTCCCAACATGGGCTTTAGGCCCTTTTCTTTTTTTTTAAACTAGTAATTAATGATATTTACTTTTAATAATTAATAACATTAAAATTATTAATATTTCCCTAATTGTATATCCAATTACTTAAGTGTACACACACACACACACACACACACACACACACACAGATATATATATATATATATATATATATATAGTTGCAGCGTGCAGCCCGATCC